TTCTCGTAGGTTTAACTGCGTATTGGTTTTGTCTTATCGTAAAGCGATCGCAACGTTTCCCAATTTTTCTCCAGCGAACTCAACCGGCAAGCTCACTTTTGGCGAGTAAAGATGTACAACGAAAGGAGAATCGTCGAATACGAGAGCCCTGCTCAACGAGGTTGATGGAACGAGAGGCGGGATGAGGAATATGGAAAGAGAGGGAGGTAAAGAGAGGAGGAGACAGAGATGAGAGAGAATGAAACCTGCAAAGCGCGGGAGTCGAGACGATAGATAATCACGACAATGCCAAGCAGTTCCTCAGGGGGGGCGGCGGCAGTCGAGACGCTTTTGTCTGGTGGGAGGACCCCCGTCGTCTGTTTCGTCACTCGGGCGGTATCGTGCCCCCCTTACTTACGACTTCTGGGCTGAGGGGGCGCATAAGGCGTGTGCACGCACGCGGTGCCGGATGGCCAGGTTTGAGGGTCAACCCGAAACAACGCACTTGTCGGGGGCGCGCCCATGCGTTTGGGGACCCAGCGAAGATGGGATGGGTGATTGGCGGGCGGGCTGCCTGACTACCAAATTGCCTCCATGCTATGATCGCTGCATGTTCAAGCGAGTCGACGTCAAAATAGCAACATGGCAGGGTTGGTTCAAAAGGTACGGCATGCGCTGCATCGACATTCAGGGGAGCATGCTCTGTTTCGACCTGCTCATTGTCTACCTAAGGTATGCAGGACAAGCACCGACCCCACCAGGCCGAGCTCCGATCAAGTCGGCAAGTTTGACTGTCAGCCCTCAGTCGTTCATAAGGACTCGACTCAAGTGCGATGCCTAGATGGACATCGTCTGAAGTTTGACGTCAGGACCAGTTTCAGCATGCCAAGACGATGCGCGTCGGTCTTCAGGTTTTTGGTCTAAATGATCGGATGGCCAGATGGAGACAGATGGAGAGGGTTGCGAGAGCCGATCTTCCGGGTTAAGAGAGAGGGAGGGAGAGACGTTCCCAGGTTTAGAGACCAGATGGCGGGCTGGTTCGTCTTGGCATGCCGACGATGTGAGGGCGAATGATGGAAGGAAAATGGGAGCGTACATGTATATGGGCGGGCGTTTTACCTTAGACATTGCCTCCTGGTAGGATGGCCTCGAAAGGGAAAGGTTGCTTTAGCATTGTTCAATCCGACTTCCCATTATCAGGTAGGTACGCAATGGTTGACACCTCGCGGTACAAGATTGATACGCAATGGTTGACACCTCGCGGTACAAGATTGATACGCAATGGTGGCTTTGTGGCTCAACCAGGTGACCCACGTCGCCGAACGGCACGACTGCGCGCGAAGAAAGCGGGCAGCTGGAAAGCCCGGCAAGCCCGGCGCCCGGATCGGAGGAATCGGATGGGCGATCATCGGGGTCTGGTCGCTTGTGGCTCGTCGGTATTGGCCAGAGAAACCGGGGCGAGCGGTGCTCAAGACAGATAGATCCTTGCATGTGAAAGCTGGGGTACCTCATTTCCGGTTGAGGGTCAGCGTAAGCACGATTTCTAGCTTCTCTCATTCGCTGTTGGATGGTTGAGGATTGGAAGGACGGCCGTGGCTGAGGTGAGAGGATTTGGCATTGAGCAGGCGAATAGAGAGGCATCTCGTGTCAGCTGAGCGAAGGTTGAGGATGAGTCAATCTTCTTTATGTGCCTGTAGTATTGAGCAGAACGGTACCTGGCTTGCTTGGTTGCCTGGTAGGTAGCATCCCGGTGATCTGGCCCGCATTACCTACGAATAAGGCGGTACGCAAGGTCAGCAAGCCAGGCGCGGCGTAAGGGGTAGCAGCACTGAGGGTACCTAAATACAGTGCTGAAGACTGCTGTGAAGCCATTCGCTTACGGGTGCCTCTCGCATGCCAAACATGTCAACACAAGACATGCATGCCGACATGGATTTCAACATGGCGAGCTCGCAACGACTGATCAGTCATCTTTCTCTCGCACCTCGCACCTCGCACCTCGCACCAGAGACAGCGCCTCGGTTTGCCACGGGGAACAAGCACCAGGTTGGGCCTAGGGCGACGGCTACTCTGCTGTACATATACCTTGGTCACACAGGGCGCAGTGCGGAAACCCCGGGCTCTGGCGGGGCGCCCACAGGCCCACTGTGGAGGTGCCGAGGCACAGCTGAGGATTGGTCCTGAGCTCCTCGGCCTTCACGTCGTCCAAGGAAAGCAGTCCGAGCCTTCGGAGCCTTTCTCCTCATTTCATCTCTGTCCTTCCCCATCTTCAACTCCAGGTCGAGAAGCCCTCCATTCATCGTCGCCCAGCCCATCATCGTCCTCTTCTTCCTCCTGTATCTTTTCCATTTTCGACACAACTGAGCACCCCATCTGCAGCCATTGTGCTCCCCACGCTCCGTCTGCGACCATCCCCTCCTCCTCCTCCTCCTCCTCAAGGCCCCCTCCCTAAGCATCCCATCACCACAACCTCGCCAACATGGCTCCCGCCGTCGACACCACCGCGCTCATCAAGAAGCTGTCTGTGCCCCCGCCGCCCGGCTCTCCCTATGGCCTACCCATCCCTGGCTCCGAGAAGGAGGGTCGTTCCGCCATCTACCGCCACTGGCGCGCCCGCGACGGTCCTCTGATGACAACCCTCGACCCCAACATCCAGACCATGCACGACACCTTTGAGGCTGCCGCTCAAAAGTACCCCAACTGGCGCTGCCTCGGCCACCGTGCCTGGGATCCGGCGACGCGCGACTGGGAGAACAAGTACACCTGGATTTCCTACAGTGAGGTCGCCGAGCGCCGCAAGAACTTTGGCGCTGGTCTTGTCGAGGTTCACCGCGAGCTCGGTGAGACCCGAGAGAAGTATGGTGTCGGCCTGTGGTCGCCGAACCGCCCCGAGTGGCACATCACCGGTACGTTACAATGGCGAGAGACACGGAGTGCCATGCATGGAAAAAGTGTGACAGAAATGCTGATCTCCATATCCAGATCTCGCTGCTGCCTCGCAGTCTCTATATACCGTTTCTCTCTACGAGACCCTGGGTCCCGAGACCACCGAGTACATCATCAACCACGCCGAACTGACCACCGTCGTCACCTCGCTGCCGCACATTGCCACCCTCCTGAAGCTCGCTCCGAGACTGCCCACCCTCAAGGCCCTTATCTCGCTCGATGTCCTCGATGCCGGTGAACAGGCCGGCCACTCCAAGCTCTCCGTCCTGACCGACATTGCTGCCAACCTTGGCATCAAGATCTACTCCATGGCCGATGTCGAGGCCATTGGTCTCCGCTCTGGCCGCCACATGCACCCCCCTCGCCCCGAGGATCTCCAGACCATCAACTACACATCCGGCACCACCGGATTCCCCAAGGGTGTTGTCTTGACCCACGCCAACGCCGTCGCTGCCGTGTCCGGCGGCAGGGCCTTCTCTACCGTTTCTCACGTCGACATTCACCTGTCCTACCTTCCTCTGGCTCATATCTACGGCCGCATGATTGATGCCATTGCCCTGGCAGAAGGTGCCAGCATCGGCTTCTTCCGCGGCGATGTCCTCGGCCTCGTCGATGATATGAAGATTCTGCAGCCCACCGGCTTCATCTCCGTACCTCGCCTCTTCAACCGCTTCAACTCGGCTATCAAGGTGGCCACGGTTCAGGCCGACGGCTTCAAGGGCGCTCTGTCTCGCCGCGCCATCGACACCAAGAAGGCCTCGATGAAGCTGCCCGCTGGCAAGGCCCACAACACGCATTTCCTCTACGACAAGATCTGGACCCCCAAGGTCAGGGCGGCTGTCGGTCTCACCAAGGCTCACAGCATGATCAGCGGCAGTGCTCAGCTCGACCCTGAGGTCCAGGAGTTCCTCCGCGCTGCGTTCGGCAACAACTTCATGCAGGGATACGGTCTCACCGAGTCGTACGCCGTGTCCTCTATCCAGCACAAGACAGACTTCTCCACCGGTAACATTGGCGCCCCTTGCTACTGCAACGAGATCTGCCTCGAGTCCGTTCCCGACCTCGAGTACAACGTCACCGACAAGCCCAACCCTCGCGGTGAGCTGCTTCTCCGCGGACCCAACATCTTCAAGGAGTACTACAAGAACCCCGAGGAGACGGCCAAGGCCATCGACGCCGAAGGCTGGTTCCACACGGGCGACATTGCCGAGGTCGACAGCCTCGGCCGCTTCAAGATTGTCGACCGCAAGAAGAACGTCCTCAAGCTCTCCCAGGGCGAGTACATCTCCCCCGAGCGCATCGAGAACGTCTACCTCGGCAGCTCCAGCCTTCTCGCCACGGCCTACGTCCACGGCGACCCCCAGCAGTCCACGCTCGTCGCCGTCTTTGGCATCGACCCCGAGAACTTTGCGCCATTTGCGAGCAAGCAGCTCAAGAAGACCATCGACAAGACCGACACGGCCGCCCTCAAGGCCGCCGCGCAGGACCCCAAGGTCAAGAAGGCGCTGCTCGCCGAGATTGACAAGATTGGCCGCAACCACAAGTTCAACAGCTACGAGCGCGTGCGCGCCATTCACCTGGCCATCGATCCCTTCACCATCGACAACGAGCTCCTGACACCGACGTATGTACTCGCGTGCTTTCTTGACAATGAGACTTTTACTAATCATGTCGATGCAGGCTCAAGCTCAAGAGACCGCAGACGGCCAGGGCCTTCCGCGCCGAGATTGACCGCATGTACACCGAGGTTGAGGCCGAGACCTCGACCAAGGCCAAGCTGTAAGCGGCGCGTGGTGTCGCCATGGAGTTGGCTGCAACGGAGCTGCCATGACCAACATCGTATGTCGGAAGTTGTTGAAGCTTGTATCATATCCGATCATAGTCTGAAATTTGAGCGTCACGCCCTTCGATTGGCACATTCATATTCGTTGTCGTGGTTTTGCTGTCTTGTGCGAACCAAATTGCGTTGTGCAAAAACATACACGCATGACGATATCGGAAGATCTGGGCTGTTTGTCATGATTACAAGTATTCTGCATTTTTAACTTGTCCCATCCCATAGTAGCTGACCTGATTCAACCGCAAATCGCCAAACCCGCACCCCCGATAGATGATACATTCCAGTACGTTCCCGTTTCGGCCCAACCGCCCGCCGACGCGATGTCGCTCCCCGTCGCCGCAGTCGAGCTCTCGGTTGAGGAACTCCCAACCGCTGCCGATGTGCCCTCGCTTCCTAGCGATGTGCTGCCGCCGCCGCCTCGGCCGGCCGCGCCGTCGCCGCCATGGCCACCGAGCGGTGGTGGTCCGTCGTCGGCGAGACGGAGGGATGCCAGCGCGTCCGAGAGGATATCAGCCACGCGCCTCGCCATGTCCGACTTTTTCCCCAGGTAGAACAGCGTCCGGATGCAGTCGTCAGCGCGCTCGAGGCTGTTCCACCCTTCATGCGGCCCGCCCCACGTCCGCACCAGGCCGTACCGTCGATAGCTGTCCGCCTCCTCCATGATCAGCACCGCCGCCCGCGAGAAGGCCCTAATGAGGATGATGGTCCACGGCTCGGCGAGGACGGTCCCCTCATTGACGGCGTGGTGGAAGCCCGGCAGGTGCGGCTCCGTGCCCGCCGCGCGGGGCGTCGCGACGCCCGCCAGCTCCGCCAGCTCCCTGACGCTCGTCTCCCGCATGGCGGCCACCATCCTGGCAGCGGCGCGCCTGCGGCCCGCTGACGGCAGACCGAGGCCCTCGTCGTCAATCTGCTCGACGAGGTCGGCAAACATGAGCACGGCGAGGTGCCAGTGGGCGGAGATGCAGAAGAACCAGCTCCGTATGCGGCCAGGCACGGCGTCAAAGTCGCGCAGCAGGTCGCGGAAGAAGGCGCCGTGCGTGACGTTCCAGTATCGATAGAGCGACGTCGTGGCCGCGAGAGTCTCCTCGATGCGCGCGCCCGTCTGGCCCCGCCGGAGGAGGGACTGAAGGTAGGAGACGTGGCGGTACAGTAGGACCTTGACGGGACCTGAGCGCGTCACGGCCTCGGCTGCGTCTTCGTAGGAGCACGGCCAGCGTAGGCGCTGAGAGGGCGCCTCTAGCGTGTCTTTGATGAAGAGGTCGACATGCCACCTATCATTTTCTGCTTCGCTGGGCGGGAGGTCGTCGTGCTGGCAGTCTTGGTCCGTCACCGTCACGGGACGCTCGTCCATGGACGAGGAGAGCGTGTCGAACATGACGGCGAGCCAGTAGAGTAATCCAACTGTCGTCTCGTTTTCGGGTGTCATGATATGCAGGGCTTGGGTCGTGGCACGCCCTTGTGCCTTGGCTGCCTTTTGGCTAGCTGAAATGAAGCGAGACTTGAGAATATGCATCTTTCGAGTAGCCCTCTCAATATAGACGGGAGGACCGTCCCTCGAGATGGCGCGCGCGATTCTCGACATGATTGACCCCGTCTCGAAGGCACCATCCGGGGTTCGCGCACGCTCACGCTCGCCGAGAAAGTCATCGACGTCATCCTGCGCCCATGGCCTCTGCGCGAGACCGAGTACCATCTCAGCAGCTGCGACCCTGTAACACTCAATGTGTTCCGTCTCCTGCAGCGCCTTCTTGGCCTGGTTCCAAAAGTAACGCTGCAGGTCACGATCGAAGCTCTCCTCAACAAGCTCGTCAAAGGTCTCATCCGGTGAGGCAAAGCGTGGGACTGGATAGGTTTCGCCTTGTCGCCGGCTTCCCTGCGCCCACTGCGTAGCAAACGCCATGATGGCAAAATGGAGCGCTCTGTCCGCAGATCGGCCTTCTAATGCCGTCATTCTCACCAGGCCCGCGGTCTGCGCAGCGCGGTCAAGTTTGACAGTTCGGTGAAATATGCGGTTCGACCACGAAGGCCCCCACTCGGCGAGTCTGCGTCCTTCGTCCCTGCCGCGGGCGTCTTTGTAAGGGCATGTCACTTCGGTGAGCCAGCAGGATAGGCTGTGTTCGAGCACGTCATGGTATATTTGGAGAAGATTGGTAGAGATGAAGCCGCTGTTGGTTCTGGAGACGAGGGCGTTGGAGGCGCAAAAGGGGGACAGTGAGGGGCTCGAAGGCCGGCGGTTCCGTCTCCGGCGTTTGTATGCTCGCTCCCCTGGTATTTCTGCTGGAAGATCGGACATTTCTGAAAAGAGGGGCGATGAAGTCAAGTCTTGAGGTGAGTGTTCGAAGGGATTTGTGAGTTCTGTGGACCCGGAGACGCTGACACGGGCGTCACAATCAATGTCTGGTTGCGGTAGAGGCCAGACGAAAGGTACGTGGCCGGCCAAGGACTCCCGGAATGGTACTCCAAGCGTCCCTGAAGCTGCAGGGTCGATTTCTGTGGTTGCAATGTCGACAGGTTCAGGCGTCCCTGCGTAAAGGTTCGGTTCAAAGTTCAAGAGTAGCATGTCCTGCGGCTGGGTAGGAAAGTTGAGAGGCTCGCCCAGATCGATAAAGGCCACAGCTGGATCAACGGGAAGACTTGTTTGGAGGTTGGTCCGTTGCCACGAAGCCTCGCTTGCCACCTGTCCAAGGCATGGTTCGTTATGTGCGAATGGCTCTGTTGGTGTTACATGTGGAAAGCGACTTGCATGATCGAGTCCAAGGTCACCGCGAGAGGCTGCTTCAATAGCACTGGCAACTTTGAGTTGTGACCATGCCCATTCAACGGTACACGTCTTGTTCGTCTTTTGACAGTAGGAACATGGTCGAACCTTGGGTGCTGGGTATAAATCAGCGATAAGCGTTACAACTTGGGATAGGACTGTCCGGAGTCCGATTCATCGAGGGATGCGAGGCACTCACGTTGGAGACTTTGATCTAGGTGAGATATGGCACTGCCGGGTGTCTGCTCTGACAGTACGAGTCGAGGAACGTCACAAGCCCTCTTGGACTTGCGACATTGGTCGCAGGCATTGTGATATTTACGCATCCCCAAGCGCAAGGTGGTATCCAATTACTCTTGGCAGTGTAAATGTGAAGGGGGACAGACGAGAAGACGCGAGTAGGGTTCATCCCACCAAGTCAGGGGAGGAAGGCAGGAGTGGATAAGGGAGACGCAAGACGGGGCAGGCATGACCTGCGGCCCCCGCCTGAGTTGTCACCCCCGCATTTTGGCTCCGCTACCCCGGACCCACCCTCGGCAGACCCTTCCAGACAACCCCCCAGGAGCTACTACTGAACTAGGACCTGCCCTGTTTCTCTTTCCTCTTTGCACTTGTTTCACCCAGGCAACCAGGCAGCTGTCTCGGGGAAGGGGGCAGGTGCAGCGGGGAAGGCAGGTGCAGTGGGTACCACTTGCTGTTCTTCGTGGTGTCGAGCGCTCATAATCTCCGCTTCACCATTGCCGATGATACAAGAACCACCGTCTAGACCGACCGAGGCCGTCTCACACGCATGGCTCGCTGTTCACTGAGAATCATCGGTATTGAAGCATTGAAGATTAAGACAAACTCTTTTCTTGACTTCTGACCTGAACAGATTCGCCAAACATCACACCATCACGCCCGAAGAGCTTCATACGCCGCAGCTTCAACCCCAACCCACAGATTCAGAACCTTGCCATCAGCAAACGGCAGCAGCTGCGTCGCCACCATGCCAGCGATGCCATTCTCGCGGTCACACCACCACCACAGATTCGCCAACCCAGCCCAATGTCCTGTGCCCTTTGACCTGCCAGTTGCGTCTGCATTCGGCATCATGAACGTGATGCCCCAACCCTGAGGCACGTTATCGGCCGTCGGATACAACTCGCCCATCGGAAGTGTGAGGTCAGGCTTTGCCGCCGGGATCCCCTGGCGGCTGTAGTTGGGAAACTCAGGGATCTGGTTACGGAACATCTCATCGACCGTCTCCTTGCGCAGTATCTGAGCTCCACTTCGTGGGCAAGTGCCATCATTCAGGAGAACGGCCAGGACCTCTGTGCGGTAGCCGTTAGTACAATGTCTGCTGCATGTCTGGTCACCGGATGATAGACTCACTGCAGTACTCCTGCGGTCTGGCAAACATGCCGGCACCACCGCTGTTGAATACGCTGGCAACCTCGTCGCTATTGTTGGGGTCGATCACCAACGGCAGCCGCTGGAGATGGTCTCTCGGTCTCAGCGTGCCATCAGTATCCCTCTGATGCATGTACGCCAGCCTTGAGCGCATGTCTTCACCGGGAATCATCGACATGTCGACGATTCCGAGCGGCTGAAATAGCCTCTTCTGCAGGAATTCGTTCAATGTCAGGCCTGTCGCCCGCTGCAGCGCTACGCCTGCCCAGTCGATACCAACGCCATACTCCCATCCCTCGCCAGGTTGGAAAAGCAAAGGCGTCTTCATGTCCTCGAACCGGCCTGAGAACTCGTCCACTCCCGCCGGAAATGCCCAGTCTCTGAGTCGCTCGTTGAAGAAGGTATATCCGAAACCTGCCGTGTGCGTAAGGAGCATCCTCAGTGTGATACTCTTCTTTTTAGCCTCAAGGGAGCCGTCCGCCCGCAACACCTTGAGGTCCTTGAGCTCTGGACACAGCTTCTCCAGGTGATCGCCATCATCAAGCTTTAAGATTCCCTCTTCAACAAGCTGCATACAGGCGATGCCGGCGAGTAGTTTGGTGCAAGAGGCGATCCAGAATATTGAGTCGAGAGCCATGGGGTCATTGGAAGCAACGCCACGTTTTCCTGCCGCATGGGCAAAGAGCTCCTTTCCGTCTTTGCCGATTATGACAACCGTGGCGCCTGGGATGTCAGACTTTGCGTCAGCGCAGGCATTATCGACGATTGCTGTGAGGCGCTCGACGGCTTTCGTTTCAAAAGGCATTTTCAAGGTATGAACTCCTAAGAGTGAGAGTCTGCACAAGTGGCGTAGAATAAGCGGTCAACGGAGAAGAGAGATTCAAACAAGCAACGCTTTCAACGTCATCCTCTCGGATCCGCAAAAAGTCGAAATATATACCATCAGGCCAACAACAGCACACTGTGAGACTCAGACACATCCCCGAACAGTTCCCCCGCACAACTCCAGACTGAACCCCCGCAAAACGCCCACAACGACGCTGCATCACTGACTCGTGACACCAATACGAAATCACTGTTACCGTAATCGGCCAAGCGTGCGGCGCCAGCTCCGCAACACCTCGGACAGAGGGAGCCGCAGCCGCGGGGCTTGCGGTGGACGTCGTGCATGAGATCCACCAGGAGCGTTGGCTTTCTGCGGCTGGCGATGTGAATGCCATCCACCAAAGGCGTTGTCATTTTGCGGCAAGCCGTCCGCAACAGTATCACTGCAGAATGCGAGTATCGCAACTAGGAAACTCTCGGTGCTACGGAGACGCAATGACCCCGCGATGGGCATTTGTGTCATGGAGGCAGGGGGCACAAGCTCGCTTGGCACGAGCAACTTGCCTGGTACAGGCAGGTATAAATGAAAGAGTCAGAATGCTCGCCAAGGGGGTATTCCAGTCGAGAACAAGCGGATCAACACTGTACGACTTGGCTTAGAATCATCCACACACGAAAACTACACAAGCAAATCTTCGAAAACCTCTATGAATCATGGGCGAACCACTTGCCAACCGTAAGAAGTTCAACACTGAGCTGACGGACTACTCTTCCCAACATGCTGAGAAAACCGGGCCGTACGCCGAGAACCTGGAAGTTGATGCCCTCATCGTCGGTGCCGGGTTCGGTAAGTGGACTTGGCCCCGGGTCTTGACCGTACACCTACGCTGATGCTGGTGGATCCAGCTGGCATTTTCATGCTCAAGACTCTCCGGGATCGGGGCTATAAGTCTGTGATCTTCGAAGCTGGTAACGACACCGGCGGCACATGGCGATGGAACTGCTACCCTGGCGCCGGCGTTGACTCAGAGGTGCCAGAGTACGAGTTTTCGTGGCCTGAGGTCTGGAAGGACTGGAACTGGTCGAGCAACTACCCTAGGTACGACGAACTTCGAGCCTATTTTGACCATGTCGACAAGGTCCTCGGCATCAAGAAAGACTGCGCCTTCAACACGGTTGTTGTGGGTGCACACTTTGACACTGCCACCGGTCGTTGGAACGTTCGCACGGCGGATGGCCGAGTGACCAAAGCCCGCTTCCTCGTCCTCGGCACCGGCTTTGTGAGTCTCCAATGCTTCACGTTTATCATGACCCCGATGCTGACTTGGTGTAAAGGCCGCCCGACGCTACATTCCCGACTGGCCTGGCATGGACAAGTTCAAGGGCGTGGTCCACCACTCCTCGTTCTGGCCCGACGAAGAGGTCAACGTCAAGAATAAGCGCTGTGCTGTCATTGGCACCGGCGCCTCGGGCGTTCAAATTGTCCAGAATTGGGGTCCCAAGGCCGGCCAGGTTACTGTCTTCCAGCGTACTCCGAACCTTGCTGTGCCCATGCGGCGCCGCCAGCTCACAGTCGCCGAGCAAGAGCGCGCCAAGGTCGTGTACCCGGAGCTGTTTAAGCTACGCGAGACGAGCTTTGCCGGGTTTCACTACGACTGGATCGAGAAGAACACCTTTGACGACACGCCCGAGCAGCGCGAGGCCACGTACGAGCGAGTCTGGGCAGAGGGCGGCTTCCGGTACTGGGTGGCGCTCTACAAGGATAACCTGTTCAACCCTGAGGCCAACGAGGCCTCGTATGCATTCTGGGCGGAGAAGACGAGGGCGCGCATCGGGGACCCTCGCCTGAGAGATTTGCTTGCGCCCTTGGTCATGCCGCACTACTTCGGTGTCAAGAGACCTTGCCTCGAGGATGACTACTTTGAGCAGTTCAACCGCCCTTCAGTCGATCTAGTCGATATCAGCAAGAACGGCATCAAGGAGTTTACCGAGACAGGGATCACTCTCGAGGACGGGACACATCAAGAGTTCGACGTCATCGCCATCGCCACCGGCTTTGTAAGTCCTAGTCCGTTCAAGAGACGTGTATCCCAGCTGACTTTGGTGCGCAGGATGTCGTGACAGGAGGTATTTCGGCCCCCCTGAGGCACGATGCATATCCGTTTGAGAAGTTACGTGCTGAAAATCCCCATAGTCATGACGCAGCTCGGCCTCGAGAGCATCGATGGCAACAAGCTCCAAGAAGAATGGGTCTCCGGTGCCAAGACATACCTCGGCACCACCGTCAGCGGCTATCCCAACATGTTCCATATCTACGGCGTCCATGGTCCAACCCTCCTGAGCAACGGCCCGTCGACAGTCGAGGTTCAAGGCCGCTGGATCGCTGACATGATTGACAAGCTGCAGCACAATGATATCCGGTACATCAATCCCAAGCCCGAGGCCGCTGACAAGTGGAAGGAGCACATCCTTGAGCTGAATAACGAGTCGTTGTTCCCAACGACGCGATCCACCTACATGGGCGGAAGCATACCCGGAAAGAAGGTTGAACCTGTGTGCTACACGGGTGGTATTCCTGCGTATAAGATTGAGATACGCAAAGCGCTAAACAGTATGGAGGGCTTTGAGATCGTCAAAGGGTGAAAGTTTAGTATCGGTCCCCCTGTATCTCGTCAGTCAGGCCAATTCTGGTCACTAGCTCTCTCACACAGTGCGCCCCTGTGGATACCGGTTGAGAGGAAATTAATGTACTATCGCATGGTAGCCATTAATCATCTTCTCAGCTTTTTGCATCAGAAAGATCGTTATTAGGGATGCTCTATTCACCTTCTGGTTGTTAAGAAAAGAACGCGTCAAACCTGTAGCACGCGACACGAGAATGCTACACGACAGCTGGGTGGGGTTTCCACGACCACACGGGCTGTGGCGCTGCCAAAGCACAAGGTGGCTAGTGTCACATTGTATTTTCTCGACGAGGGTCGAAAGCCTGTCACGACATCTTTAGCCTGGAAAAGGGATCTAGAGAGGATCAAAGTTAATCTGCTAGTGCTTCATCCAAGAAGGTCAAGGGGTCGAATACTACCAAGACGCTGACACGGACTGACGTCATGGCACGAACTGACGCATCTACCTTGAGGTACCTAGGTAGGTCATTTCGTATATTGATCGTGTTTTTGCAAAGATGACTTTTAGGATGGATGACTGGATCTCCTAGCCTTCTCCCTTTGCTAGTACATATTGGGTAGATTGCGTACTGCCCATTGTTAGCAACGCTTAAGGTGACATGCGCGCGATGGTCATGCATCATAGCATGGTCACACAAAATAAAGCCTACGTGCATTAGTTTTGGATAACAGTTCTTCTTACACTTATGATTACTTGCATCTGATAGATGTAAGATGTCTAATACTACTAGTATGAATCTAGCGACCTGATTCAAAGAAGCTTGGAGTGAAACTGATAGTCGCTTGCGCTGCTCTGTAACTCCACTTGCAAGAAGTGATTGAGATGTACGAAAATATCAATTACTTTAGCTACCTTATACATTGATTTACTCTAGTGTACTTGAATATGAAGGCTGTTTGTAAACGGCCTGAGATAGGGCATTGATGAGAAAATTTAGTTATCTAGATAGTAGATACTATATAAATATTTACTTATTATACTTACTAGAGTTCTATTTTTAGGTCTTCTTTTAAGGTAATAGGAAACGAGAGCTCTCTTTGTAGTAAGTACTTAGTAGAGAAAATTATGCATTTCTGCTATCGGGTCCGTGCTTTCCAAGCTAGCGCTGAGAGGGAGGAGTAATAGTGGAATCCCCCTTGAATACTAACCTCCTACAAACCTACAACGTCAGTTAGGTGAGCCTATCGCGCATGACCGCGCCATGAAGATGGCGATGGACACGCCGACCGCAATCGGTGGCCAGCCACAGAATGCAGATGCTATCACGAAACAGACTGGCCAAGGTCCAAGCTTGTCACAACAGCATCAACAACGACTCCAACAACAACATCAGTCTGTGGTGATTGACCTGACGGGAGACTCGCCCCCAACCAGCCCGCGCGTCGCAACCCGAGACAAGGGCCATGAAGAGCGGCCCGCCAAACGACAGCGTGTTGCGATCGCACCGCGACTCCCACAGTTGCAGCCGCGACTCCCACAGTTGCAGCCGCGACTGCAGCCGCAGCCGACGCCAGGACCTCCTCTATCGCTCAATGACTGCATCAAGAGATACGTTATTACGGCTTTAGACCGCAAATTCGACAGCTTTGCTGCTATCGAGCCGGCATTTGATGACCTACTCGACACGCGCAAACTCGGGAACAAGGTAGTGCCCCTCCTTCCTCCTCGAGCAAACAAAGGCTTATGGTGCATACAAACAGATAATACGAGTATTCGCTGCCGACACTATGTTTCTCGCACAATATAATGCTTCGCAAGGCTACCTTTCCCAGGAGTACCAAGCACAGCTGCAGGCGCAGGTTGGTGAATATGTCAACACCCTGATGGGCGATCCTGTATGGACCTCTTTCCACATCTTTCCCTTAACCCCCCTTTCCACGCTGTTTTTACCTCTTGCCGCCGAATTTCCATTGTGTAGGTTGTGTCTGACAAAGAACTAGTCGTATGGACATTCAACCAATACTAACGGACACTCTTCGCGCTCCACGTCGTCCATACCCCAACAAACCGTGCCTACACCGAATCAGCAACCCCAGGGAGCCGGGATGGGATGGCAGTCGCTGTCAAAACCTCGAGAGTCTTACGCCGTACCAGACCATAGTCGACCACATGCGGTGTCGGGGCAGGTCGCAGCAACTGCGGGACAACACGTACACCTTCCAATTGCGCACTCTCATCCTCCCGCACTTGCACAACATCCAGCACCAGTCCAAACCCCGACTCCTGTGCAGCCGACGCACCTGCCATCCACCGCAAAGACACAGGATGTGTTGCCACCGAAGATTACCACACCGCTGCAAAAGAGTGGCTCCAAGACTAAGCTCCGAGCAGCATTCAGAACGAACCCCGTCTCGCCGCTAGGTTTCCGATCGCACGCAAGGGCAACGGCCTGGAAATACAAGAGATCGGTCAAGCCAGAGCGGGCATCTAAGGACGGTGCTGCCCGGCACAGCAACAAGGGTACTGGGGCGTGGGCGTCTCTCCCCAAACGCCCATATCTGGCATTGCAGGAACGGCGATCTATACAAGCAGGAGCTGCAAAACTCATTCAGCTTCCTCTCGAGGAGCGAAAACATAGCGTCTGCTGGCCATACCATGTTGACTTCACGGAAGAGGAAGTTGAGGTTGCTCGGCAAGCAGTGCGCAAATACTTGGCACGGCAGCCGCAGAGCGGCAAGATGGCTTTGCGAGAGATACGACGATTTGCTAGGAAGCATCCGGAACACATTTGCCAACTCGCCAACACATTTGCCCTGAAGGACGGCCTCTCACGGAGGGATCAGGTGTCGATCAGCAACTTCTTCGAAGACGCTGCTGCAAACAGGGTCAATCGACACAAGGTAGCTATACGTCTCGAGCTCGACGAGCTCGACGAACAGAATGCTAGAGTCCGTGCCTGCCGTATACCGTCCTTGCTGTTCGCGCGCGAGGTCGATGGCAACCGCGGGTTCGGCAGGACCCGCAAGCTGGTTAACTTCACCAATGAGTTTAGGAAGGCTCTCGAGGACGAACTTGAATCCCGCGGTGATTGGAACAACTGCGCTGGCGATATCATGACCATTACCTGGGTCTCGGACCACAGCTTTCTTTGTGGTGCTACTGCCCATTCTGACTCTCATAACCAGCAGTACAACAAGCCTGGCAACTTGCTTCTGTATTCTCCCTCCGACAGCAGGCTCCAAGCATATGCGGACCACCGGTTTCCTCGGCCCGTTGTTGAGAGCGGCGAAAACTCTACCGAAGCTATGCGAGAGAGTCAAGACCCGTGGCTGTATGCATCTGTCGTCTCTTCGACATATGACGCCATGCGGGACCGGGCTTATACATCAAGCTTTGACAAGACGGTCAAGATCTGGAAGGTCGATAAGTTCGGCGCTCGGATGGACTGTCTTGGTACTTGGCCGCACAAGGGCCACGTTAACTTTGTCGAGGTTTCCAAGCAAATTGGGTGGGTGGCTACTGCAGCCGACGTTCCCCATGAGGCCGTGAGGTTGTACGTCGTCAACGACAATGACGTCTCGATGAGCGGTTACATCCCACTGTCCGGAACCCGGGCGTGGAACGAAGACGACAAAGAAACGCAAGCTCCTCAGAAATGGAGTTACTACCCAGCAACCATGCGGTGGGGCATAGCTAAGGACGTGCAACACTTTCTCCTTGTTGGCTATTCGCCTCGCAGCATCACCGGGGACGACAACGACATCCCTTTCGAAAAGCGAAATTCGGGCGAGATTTGCCTATGGAACTGCAAAACGGGCAAAAGTGTCAAAGTCATGACAGGCTCATCCCAGAATGTGTTCGAGGTCGCCTGGCATCCGACTCAGCCCTGCTTCATAGTGGCGAGCTCTCCATTTGGCAAGCACTTTGACGACCGCGTCAAAACGCAGATTCGTATTTTTACACCCGCGGATGTACCAGAGCTGTATGGCGCCTTCAACGAGGTCCAGTGCCTCGACTGCCCGGCTTCCGACATTAACGAGCTCACCATCATGCCTTGCAGTCTGTCCTGTTGCTATATCACGGCTGCAGCTACGGACGGGAATGTCTATGTCTGGGACACTGCACGCGGTGATAACCCCATTCACGTGCTTCGACATGGCAACCCCATCGGTGATGACGTCGGAAATTACGATACAGGCGTCAAGTTTACTGCCTGGGGAACATCACAAGATCGGTTCTATACCGGAGGGTCCGACGGCATGGTAAAAGTGTGGAACGTTCGAAATCGTAAGAAGCCTCTCGTTCGCGATCTTTTACAGGTCGACGCCCCCATCTCGTCGGGCGTCTTCTCGCCGAACCGCGCGAAACTCGCCATTGGCGATGCAAGCGGGCGCGTCTCGCTGCTGTCTGTGGACAAGGCCGACGATCAGCCCGCCAAGTACATCCAAATCCCTGCAGCAACGCAGTCCCTTGTCCACACTACAGCACGGTCAATTCGGGTGCCTAAGAACTTTACACCCCATCCTACCCCTCCACCCCCCGTCGGGACGGAGTCAGAGTCCGGCATCGATCGAGCCTGGGCCTACGTAGTACGGGGCAACCTCCAGATCCACAAGAACAGGTGCATAGGCGCCGTCCAGGGGCCCGCCTACGCTGCCCTCGGCTTCTACCGCAGCGAACTCCACAAGGACGGCGACCCCAACCAGCCGCTGCTCGCCGCCACCGAAGCTAAGCAGCAGGAAAACGAGACCATGTTCCGCAGCTCCGGTCGCGTACGCAGGCTCCGCGTCCCAGAACCCGCATCTCCGCCCCTGAACCAGCAGCACCAGCGCAACCAGGCATTAGTCCTAGACCTTCGGGCCCTCCCCGAGTCGACGCAGCTCGAGCTCGCGATGGAAGGCGTTAAGCTCGACGATCCGTTGGAGGCTCAGGACTGGGATTTTGAGTATGAGGAAGAGTAAACCTAGCCTGACCCGGAAGAGGTGAGAGGCAGCGGGGTGTTAAGATTCCTGAATAGTGTATTACTTGATTTTGAAGTCTCTTCGTCTACATGGAGCTGGACGGCTCGGGCTTTGATAGGGTCTCAGGGGATGAGGCTATAGGTTCTTTGCATTACGTTCAGTAGGCTATTTGGCGTTTGCTATCAATCCAGATACCCATTTTCACATTCCTGATACAACTTCCACACTATGGAGAAACTATAGTGGCATTAACTGTGTCAAACACTGTTTGCTCCTTCTAATTAAGTATATAGGGCTTTCACGCCTACAGGAGAAGAGGCCAAGGCAAGCCTCTAAGCAAATTTCAATGCTAAATTACCTACGATAATCACAATTCGAGCCTGCAGCCCTAATTACCCTTAAGAAAGCCAGTGTATACTCCTCACTTACACAAAATACACAGGCTTCCACGTCTCGTCTTCGACTAGACTGGATTGCCTGCTTCAACCAAGTTTAGTATCCTGCCTAGACATTCTCATAGCTCTGATTCTGCAGCTTCGAGACCCCTGCCTCGGACCTACGTGCTATGCGAGTGGCTTCCTCTTGACCGTTCCAGTGGTATCATGATTAGAAATTCAAGCCGAGCCTCCCCCAATGAACGCCGTGCCTTCCCTCCATGCTGCGTGCTTTGGTGGAAGCGGTTATAGGCATCCTGCACCCTTCAGCATGCACTTTGCAATGTCAGGCTACTGGCTGTTTTGCTGCCATCCGCCGTAGTTTGAGGACGCACTCGGCATGCCGTTGAAGCCGTTACCCTGTACGAACTGGTTGTTCGCAATGGGCTGTGAGTTGGCGCCGGAGAGTTTCATATCATCACGACGATCTCGCCCGCCATGACCACCACCGTTCTTCCGCCGCCATCGATCATCGACGTGAGATGACTTGGGTCCATGGCTTCCACCCTTATCGGTCTGCATGCGGCGACTAATAGCCTTAGACGATACGCCAGCACCAATCTCGATGTCGGGTTCTTCGACTACAAGACCAGTCTCGATGGGTTTTCCACCGCTGCCGCCGTATTCTGCTGTCAGCATCCACTTGCGATCTGCTTCCGTAAGCTCGCTGATTGGGATGATGCTGATGCCTGTAGAATAATCACTGCATTGCCGAGGACCGAATCCAACACCCCAGCGAGTCTGCCATGATGGTTAGCGCGGGAAGATAGTCGAGGCCAAACATGGACGTACCCTTAATTGCAAGCCCTCGGGCCCTTGCGGAAACTCGAGCGCCTCTTTGGCAGCTTCGGCATCCTTCCGAGTCAACATTTTAACAAAGGCGTGTCTTTTATCCTTATTGACAATGCAGGTCTGGACCTGACCATACTGGGTGAAGATATTGCGCAACTCTGGCTCAGAGCATCTAATGAAGGATTGGTATTAGCGTTGAAATGGATAAGCTGGGTTCTAGACTGCGGGGTGTTGGGCTTACGTGACACCTCCAACAAACAATGTTCGGCTGTAGACGCGAATCTTGCCCTCAGGAAGAGTCCGATCGTACTCTACCCATTTTTCGTACTGACTGTGCTGAGGCGGTCCCGAAGGGCTGGCGCGACGACCAGCTGGGCTTCGTTGGCGGTACTCGGAGCTGCGAACTGCGTCGTCTTGACGGTGCCCAAAGTCGTCGCGTCCGTTGCGGGTCTTGTCACGAGATTCCCACCGGCGACCTGGCGAGCGGGATCGAGAGCGGTTCGGATACCGGTCTGGGGATCTTTGGCCACCATTATACCCGTAGCGGTCACGTGAATCCGCATGCCCATTGCTAGTGGCAGGAGCCGCAGCACCCCACGTCGGGGCCGAGGCTGCAGGATAGGGAGGCTGGGCTGCGGGTGCGGCCGGGCCCCCTAGATGCGGCATCACGCCGGCTTGCTGCATCGTGTTGATAAGGGCCGGAATCTGGTCAAAGGGCACACCTTGCTCGGCGAGAGCTTTGATCAGCATGACCTGTTGTTGCACATCAGGGGTAAGGGCCTGTGGCGCGGCCGGAGGAGGGGGCACGCCTGGATAACCAGTCCCCATGAGACCAGAGAACGCAGGCGGAGGGGCCTGCTGGTTGTGTGCCGGCGGGTGAGCTGCTTGGGGCGGATAAGCATAAGGCATGGGGGGAGCAGGGCCCGAAGCCGCGGCTGGTGGTGGCGGCGGCACGGAGTAGGACGGCGGGAGGGCATTTGTCGCCTGAGGAGCTGGCTGTCGTTGGCTGATGGTGTTCAGAAGTCCTGCCAGGCCGTTCAGCGCGGACGGGGCTGCAGTTGGAGGTGGATGAGCTGGCGTAGGAACATGCTGTTGTGAAGCAGGACCGTTTGTTCGTGCAATATTCGCTAGAGCCTCCATGATGGCATTGCTGCTCGGAGGGGCGGCAGGAGGTTTGGCGGCGTTGGTACTAGGAGCCAGGCCAAGGAATGCAAGAAGACCGGGAGGGGGACTTCCCTCAGGGGTCGTGGACTTGACTGTGTGGTGGTCAGCTTGACGTCCAAAGGGCTGCGACAGCCGTGGCATCGGGCATGAATTCTACGTACCAAACGCAGCGACAGGCGGAGTGGCCAGCTTGGTTCTGAACGAGTCAATCATGGACTGGGGAAAGGTCTGGCCCTTTTCCCAGATATCCAGAAGCTTCGAGATCTTCTCCTACAATGTGATACAATACGTAAGTGGATGGTCGAACAAGTAGCGAAACCGTGTGTTTCATCACCAAGACGCGAGGCCGAAACGGCAAGAGACAGGTTCATGGCAGATCTAGGGAAAGCAGTGCTGCTGCTTCCGCGTCGTTCAATGGTAGAGATCTCTGAATGAACCAGTCTCCGACTGTCAAGCTGGCAATACGCCTTACGATCTGCTGATAGGCCTCTGGACCGCCAAATACACTGGAGCGGCTTACCTTGTGGTTTTCTGGTGCAGACTGGACAATATCATTCATCAACACGGGCATCAGCTCCGTCACGCGGTGAACGCCAGCAGCAAAGGTTCCGTCAGTAGCGGAGCCATCTACGTCCTGGCCGGAGGATTTCGCTCGCTCCAACCACTTGCGCGTTACCGAGTCTACAACGTATAGCACTCCAAGTTTGTGGTCGCCTGCTGTCTTCTTGAAGTGTGTGTAAATCTTTTGGATCAAGACAGATTCAGACTGAGAGAGATAAAGTCAGCAACAACTCGGACAGATGTGGTTTACATATGAGCGTTGTTAACATAGAGTCCGTACCTGAACGCTGCCAACGCAGAGCGCTGTTATGGAAGAAATGCGAGACCCAGATACACCAGGAGGCTTAAGGTGAGACATGGCCTGCAGGCCAGCCTCGAGCTCAGCAACAGGAGATGCCATGATGGATCCTTATTCGCGACGGTTGTTCGTTACGATATACGAAAGTGTAGAGGAGACTCCGGCGCAAAACGAGAGCGCTCGCGGCTACGGCGACGTGGTACGTACGCTACTGTTTCGCACGAGACGTGAAGTTGGTAGCTAGGTAGCAGTGTTTCGAGGTTTCGCGGGGGCCACAGTCCTTATACGTCCTGGAGGGAGATGGTGTTGTCGAAGAGTAGATAAATCTCGTGCTTGGGTAAAAGGGAGCGATAGTCCACCGCAGGCAGTGGAAGGTCAGGTTGGGAGCGGGGCCTGACAAGAGGGTGCAGTTGCCGTATAAGAAGGCAATTACGAGGAAATCTTGGAAGGTACTCTCTGCTAGGACGCTCTTTCCTCACGTGCTGTTGCGCTGCTTCGCTTCACCAGCTCGCTATCAATCACGTACCCTCTGAAGAGTAGAATGCCCAGCCTTTACTAGTAGTCGGACCAGACGATTGCAATGATGACGAAGATTCAGAGGTTCAAGATGCAAGCTAATCGTCAGACGAAGCCTAGGAGTGTGTGCGGCAAGTCGGGCGGCCTGCAACTCGCGACCCTCTACTGCACACCAAGCGCGAGAACCACCAGTTGGTCGTGTCACGACGAATTGAATACAATGTGTGAATGATAACGATCAGCAGATGGCGTAGATCTGCATGGTCGATGCGAAAGTGTTCATCAGGCGCGCTGGTCGGACTGCACGATGAAGCGATGGTCGGGCGTGATGGATCTGTCGATGAAGGTAGAAAGAAGATGGATGAGACGGAGCAGGTCAGGCAGGTGACAGTGTTTGGACTTTAAATCCTGGGGGCGGGACAGAGGTGACTGATCGCGTCAAATTTGCAGTGTCAGCTTTTTCCGTTCATCAGTGAGTGGTCCATGCGCCAGGATTCGGTCGGGTTAGTGCGGTTAGCAGATGAATGTGATCACGTGGTCTCGCAAAATCATTCCAAAGGCGCCGCGTCGGGGTGCTGAGAGATCCTCAACAACGGCGGAACATGGAGTACAGACAGCCCAAGTAATAATGCCAGGCCATACAAGACAGTTCTTGAAATTATTATTTTGTTTAATACTGTGGATAACACGTTCTACTTCGAGGCTTGTGAGAACAAAAGAACACACAAAAGTGAAGTCTCGTACGAGATGCGTCAGGAATTGAGCCCAACGGGGGGCTCGAACCCCCAACCTTGAGATTAAGAGTCTCACGCTCTACCGATTGAGCTAGCCGGGCAGGCAGGTTGCTTATTGATGCTGGAAGTCTCACCAGGACCTGTTTATGTAAGGCTCATGTCTCATGGTAAAGATGCGGATCCAAGCTCTCTCCACCGTGCGCTCCATGCTTGTTGCAAAATTCAAACCATCAGAGAAGCAAGCTACCTAGTTAAAGCAGATTGTCAAGCCGCCCGAGTGACTTCTAGCCACCCACATGCTCGCAAGCCGGGCTGTGTCTCTTTCTGATGTGTAAGAGGTGCATTGGATGCAGGCCATGCCCAGGCTCGGCAGGTCAGACGGAGCAAGGTCAAAACACCTCATTCCCGAAGTTGTACCCGCTGCCAAGCATTCGTGACAGCACATACTGGGCTATTCATCCTCACGCCCGAGGTCTTGGAGAGGTGCCGTCGCATCATGGATGAACGGAAGCCTTTCAAAAAGTCGGCGGAAATCTCGGAACATTGGTCATTGTCTTCCTTCATGTGATATGAATGAAGGTATGAGGTTTTGAGCATGTCTGGATTGGAGTTGGGATCGTGCTAATTACTCCGAATCGTGCCGGTTATTAGCGATGCACAGTGTAGGTATCAGATCGCGCGCAAGCCTCGTCGGGTGGTTTGGGTGGTCAGTCCTCATGTCGCTACCGCGCTCGTCCGAATGTCTCGCCGGGGTCCAGCACCGATCGCGAGAGCTAGTCTCTCTTCTGCGGTTTGTCTGGAAGATGTGGCGCAATTGGCTGTCACTTCCTCTCAGATAAATCTTCCATCGCCCGGTACTTCAGGACGGTACAGGGTCTTGAAAAGAAACATGGACAGGCACGAGGTACCAACAATTTATTGACGACCTCGCTTGCTTGTTATCCTCGGTCCCAACCTCAATGGCAGGATCCTGGCTCGGACCAATGGGACCGGAAAAGGCGCTCAACGGTCAATGGGTCCTTTGCCGGCCCCGAAGCTCCCATGCGCTGCAGCTGGGTCGTCTGGACTACCTACCTTAACCTACCTTGCCCAGAGGTAGGCTGCAGGCGATGAGATGACGTCCATTGAGCTGGAGCGTCCATTGGGGGAAAGGCTGGTTGAGAGAGTGGATTGCCACAGGGCAGATGTGGGCGGCGGCACTGTGATGTAACTCAGGCCGCCCCCTGCGACTCCCGGAACGGCCGTGCTAGTAGGCTTGTTCGACCTGTGTGTCCTCCCCAAGCACTAGGCACTAGGGGGGGTGAGTGAGGCTTGGGGGGAGGGCCTTGGTGGCTGGCTTCCTGAGGTGTGAAGGTGCGCAAGCCGCGCCAGGCCAGCACCCGGACGCCGACCTTGGCTCCGCCGTATTTTTCCCCGAATGCGCATTTTTCTGCCAACCTGTTCTCCTTTCACTTCCTCTCCTTCTCCATCCCCCTCCCGACCATCCATCTCAGCAGTTCCTCATACTCCTGAATATCCTCTTTCACAATGGCCTCCGTGTCGCGCATCGGCTCCTCTGCCCTGCGAGCTTCGCTCCGGGCCAACAACACCAGGCTTTCGGCTTTCCAGGCCGCTCGCTGCTACTCGGCCAAGTCCCAGGTACGACGGTCTCCCTTCGCGGCTGAGAGGGCCACGATGCTTCGCATCTACGACCTCAATGCCGCGGCCATTCAGTGCAATCCTCCATTGGCGACGTCTAAACTAACCCGTCTCTTCCTCCCTAGACCCTGAAGGAGCGCTTCGCTGAGCTTCTTCCCGAGAAGATCGAGGAGATCAAGACCCTGCGCAAGGAGCATGGCTCCAAGGTCGTCGACAAGGTCACCCTTGACCAGGTCTACGGCGGTGCCCGCAGCGTCAAGTGTCTCGTCTGGGAGGGTTCCGTCCTCGACTCCGAGGAGGGTATCCGCTTCCGCGGCAAGACCATCCCCGAATGCCAGGAGCTTCTCCCCAAGGCCCCCGGCGGCAAGGAGCCCCTCCCCGAGGGTCTCTTCTGGCTTCTCCTGACCGGCGAGGTCCCTACCGAGCAGCAGGTCCGCGACCTGTCCGCCGAGTGGGCCGCCCGTGCCGACCTCCCCAAGTTCGTCGAGGAGCTCATCGACCACTGCCCTACCGACCTGCACCCCATGGCGCAGTTCTCCCTCGCCGTCACTGCTCTTGAGCACTCCTCCTCCTTCGCCAAGGCTTACGCCAAGGGCGTCAACAAGAAGGAGTACTGGGGCTACACCTTTGAGGACTCGATGGACCTCATTGCCAAGTTGCCCACCATTGCCGCTCGCATCTACCAGAACGTCTTCAAGGGCGGCAAGGTCGCCGAGGTCCAGAAGGACAAGGATTACTCCTTCAACTTTGCCAACCAGCTTGGCTTCGGCAGCAACGAGGGCTTCATTGAGCTGCTGCGTCTCTACCTGACCATCCACACCGACCACGAGGGTGGCAACGTCAGCGCCCACACGACCCACCTCGTCGGCAGCGCTCTCAGCTCCCCTTACCTCTCCGTGGCCGCCGGCCTCAACGGTCTCGCCGGTCCCCTGCACGGCCTCGCCAACCAGGAGGTCCTCAACTGGCTCACCGACATGAAGAAGTCGGTTGGCGACGACCTCTCGGACAAGTCCATCACCGACTACCTCTGGTCGACCCTCAACGCCGGCCGCGTCGTGCCCGGCTACGGCCACGCCGTCCTCCGCAAGACGGATCCCCGCTACAGCGCCCAGCGCACCTTCGCCCAGGCCCACATGCCCGACGACCCCATGTTCAAGCTCGTCAGCCAGGTCTACAAGATCGCCCCCGGCGTCCTGACCGAGCACGGCAAGACCAAGAACCCCTACCCCAACGTCGACGCCCACTCTGGCGTGCTCCTCCAGCACTACGGTCTGACCGAGGCCAACTTCTACACCGTTCTCTTCGGTGTGTCCCGCGCCATTGGTGTGCTTCCCCAGCTCATCATTGACCGCGCCGTCGGTGCCCCCATTGAGCGCCCCAAGTCTTTCTCCACCGAGAAGTGGATCGAGATTTGCAAGAAGCTGTAAATGGGCAGCGAGCAATGCAGAGAGCGAGAGAATCCGGGGGGCGGTGAGGGCGCGGGCGAAGGCGAAGGCGCGCGCCAGACGACGTGAACTGTCGTATAGTTTTCCAATGGCGACATGACACGATAGAAGGAGACCAGGACCGGGAAGCCATCACGAACAACCCAGAAAAGTGTTGCTTCAGTCGGGGTGGATAGCAGACGACGAAACTGAAGCTTCGGAACGATACCAATCCACTTGCGCTTGTACAATACTACATACAACTCTTACTATTACTGCTTGGGTGGAGGGAGAAAAGGGGACGGAGCGGAGAAGGTCGTGTATGCTTTCTCAGATAAACCTAGGCTCAGAATATGGCTCGTTTGGTTCTTACTTCTTTTCTTCTGGTGCCTCGTTTCGTCTGATGCCTGGTGATCCTCTTGCGTTGTGAACGTATACTGTAAGGCTGTGCGGACAACGCGAATCCCGTGGGTCGGAGTTGGCGGCTCACACGATTGGCCAATCGTAGAAAGAGCAAGGAGAAACAAGACGAACGTCCAATGCATCAGTTGTGTCGGTGCATGGCTTGCTTGGCTTACTTGGCTTGCTTGCACAGCATGGCGGTCCGGTCGTCGGAAGTTCCCCACGGAATTTTGCGTTGAGCTCACGCACGCGCCAAGGGGGGGCCGCCAGCAAAAAGAAAAAAAAAGCAGCTCAGCTGTTGAGAGTCGAGCGGCACAAGGTTGGGGAGCTGTCGAGCTCTTTTTGGGGCTGGCTGGCTCTGGCCTGTTGGAGCGGGCCATGGTGTCGACCAACCACGGTCGAGCTGCAACCAGCCGGTACCTGCGAGCCATGTACCGGTCACCGAGTACCAGGCACCGGATTACGAGCTCGTCGCCGAGGAGGCAAGCTCTATTGCTGCCACCTGAAGGGCGGAACACGGCTTCGAGACGAACTCAAACACGCGTGAAGACTGATAATCGCTGAACACCCCTCATTCAGGCCCGCCTCCGATTGTCGCGTTGTCGTGTTGTCGCACGAGATGTCCCGAATCAATGGAGACGGCCGAGGGACATGCAGAAGCATAGCCGATACGGAGGCGGCTTGTACCGTCTGAGCCCACAATGGTGGGAGCTTTTTGGGGGAGTGGTTAGCGCCAGAAAATCCCGACGAGTGAGAGTGAGAGGGCGACCATTGCTTTCCTTGCTTTGAGACCTTGGGGGGGCTGAGGTGAAGGCCCCCAGCGCCTCACGGCCTCGCTGAGGCGCTGTAACGGGCGCTGTCGCTCACTGTCTCTGCCCAACTGCTGGGCGAGGCAAGGCGCGCGAGGCAGGATGAGCAAGCAATGCACAGCCTGGTGTGGCATCGAGCTGCTTCCACGTGCTCAGAGGACGTCCCTGCCCACCTCCCTGATCCAGAGCGCGGTAAACCACCATCTCGCATCGTCTTCATCCTCGGCCTGGCCATCAAACCTCCACCTCCACATTCACGTTCATCGCAGCTCGTTGCATCCCGCTCCACTTTCCAGTCTACTCTCCAGTCTCCCCCCTCGGACGTTACCCGAGTC